AGAAGTAAATCAGTCTCTGTATATTTTGTAAGAAATTTTAGTCTTTGTGATTCTAGGTAAATGAGAATTCAATACCTAGTAGCACATCTGTTTTTTGTATTTTCCATTGTAGATTGCAAAGGGTAAGATATTCAACTTCTCTCTTATTTCCTCTACTTATACTTACAGGCAGAAAATACAGCCAATTACACTTAGGGAAATTTGAATCATGGAAACTTTCTTTTTCCCTATTATAAATAATTCCAAAGCCGAAGCATTAAAGCACAGATTCAATTGGTGTGTAGGTTTCTTTGATAGTAGTTGTTCTGTTTGTCAGATGAAATATGAACTCTTGAAGCTTGATTGCCTAGATCTGTTTATGGCTCATGATTCCATTATCACACTGCATGCAGACAAAAATTGATCTGGAAGGAGCAGAAGTAAGCATTCTAATTAGTTTTATCTTTCATTTAAAAGAAAATCAAAGGATTAGTTTTCTGTTTGTTTTGTCAGTCCAAAGGCTTCCAAAACGTGCTTTGAGAATGCCTGGTTCCATTATAGATAGTGAAAGAAATGATATTTAAAGACATCGGAAATTTGTCTCCAGTAATCAAAGCTAATGTTTAATTGGCTTTGTATTACTGGAGAGCAAAATCAAGCCATATAATTCTGTATGAACTTTAACAACAACAAATTTAACTAATTGTGGACCAAATTAAAAGTACAAACATTTAATTATATTGTATGGAATTGAATTATGTTTTCTTTTTTCATTTTAATCTAGATTTTTAAAGTATATCACATTTTTTATATTGTATATCTTTTCAAAGTAATCTATTTTTATTAAACAGCCATTTAATTATAGTTATATAACTTTATATATACATAGATATCTGTTAGTCTGAAGGGGTATTACTAGCTTTGTTTGATTGGTTTAGAATGAAGTTTAGAAGTCTTATATTCAGCTGGTCTTACTAGAAAATAGTTACTGGAACATAGTAAAAACGGTGCAGACAACAAAATTTGATTTTTAAGGCATTCAATCAATGTGAATAACATCAAATGCAGTAGGAAATCAGATTTAAAGTTGCTGTCTAATCTCCTTGAATTTTGGATGTTGGTGATGAGTTGTACTTATCGTTGAATTAACTCAACCACACTTTTATGTATCGCCCAAGAACTTCAAGTAGAGGTCCAAAGGTACAAGGCAATCGCTACAAATTCATTGAAACACAAATATGCTCTGTTTCATTCATCCTGATGGAACTGTGGATATTTGTCAGGAAAATTTTGTGAGGAAAAATTAGCTGTCCATTGCTATTCATTTTGCAGGCCTCTATGTTTTCAGCTTAAGTTCAGAAGAAGTTCTTCAAAGGCAACCCAAATGTGTCTGATTTAATAGGAAGATCAAGTGGTATATTTTATAATTTATTAAAAAATACAAGCCAGTATATTTTCTCCTTCCTTCTTCTTTCTTCCCTCCCTCCCTCCTTCTTTCCTTCCTTCCTTTCTTTTGTATACTCATTTAATTAGTTCTAAGTGGTTTACATAAATCTAACACATTAAGCACAATAAATACATTATAAATACATTAAGTAAACTAATATCAATAGGCAGCTAGTATTAACAACAAAAATATATTTACATAATGCTGAGAAGAAAAAGATAAAATGACCTGAACATTTTTTTTTTGCCCAAATATGTAGCAAAATATGTAGCAACAGTTTTTGCCACCACCCTACAAGACAGCGTAAGAGGATCATAAGCAGAGGTGGGTTCCTACCAGTTCGCACCTATTCGGTAGAACCGGTTCGTCAAATCTACCGAACCGGTTAGAAGAGGTTCCACCAGTGGACCCGGNACAAAAATAAAAATAGAAAACAGAAATTTAAAATACAACAACAGTCATAACCTCGAAGTGGGCTGGATAGTTCAATAGCCCCAGGCCTGCCGGAACAGCCAGGTCTTAGTGTCTTTGCGGAAGGCTGGAAGGGTGGTAAGGGTCCGGATTTCTACTTATTTGTATATAATTTTTTTAAAAATCTGGCCTTAGTTCTAAAATCTGATACATAATATTCATTTTAATACAGATATGTGCATACAGTCAGAGATACAGAAAGAGAGAGGAAAAGAATTTTTGAGAATTCGGTATGAATACTAAACCTATTGTTTATTTTTTTGCAAGGTTTCTTTTTTTTGTTTTCTTTCCTTTCCTTTTTTCTTTTTTGTCTGATTGAAGGGTATTTTAAAATTCTTCAGAAACCCTTCTAACAGTGCTTAAAGTTTCATTTGTGTGTATTTATGTGTGTGTTTATAAACACGTAGATGCTTGAATATTTTTCTGTGTGTGTGTTCTGCTGTATATCTCTTTTCTATTTTGTGGCAAAATTGGTTACTTATACATCATAACCTTAACAAAAAGCCTTATGGCAGGAATTCTCTTGCGGCACTTTCAGTCTTTAAGATTTAATTAAAGCCAGGAAAAGATTAAAAGAGAAAAATACAGAATACCCACATTCAGCCTTCTGCCACTTCTTAAAAAAATAAAATGCTAAAATTACATATCATCTATAAGAGTTTCAATTTTATTATTGAAAAAGAAAACATAGAAAAATAAAATATTTATTTTCAGTAAACTGAAGGTAACAGGTGACCCTAAAATAATATTTTGCAACTATTAAATCTTGAAGATTGGTTAAAGATTTAAGGTAACCAGAACAAAACCTTCTCACATCCAGAAGTAAGAAATATTTAAATCCTAAAATGTTGTTCATATATTTAGTCATAACTCTCAGTCTCTGTTTCTATTTGTAACATATTAGTGTACCTCTGCATTGGTCTTCATCTTATTTGATTTTATATCTATGCATTAATTCTTATAGTTTAAATTATTCTCATCTCAATTATCAATTATGATATATTTACACAATTATATATGGCTGTTATTAAGCCGAAGAACTAGGCTCTTGGGATGTTTTTCAGAAAAGAGGTTTATTATTATTAGTTTCTATTTTTGAATGCTAGTCCTCTCAGAACATCTGACACAAAGATTTCAAAATAGAAAGAAGCTTGAAGTTCCTTTTTTTTCTATGAATGTTAACAAACAGTATGACAACTTTCAAAAGTCAGTTCTCCAGTACTTATGTCTGATATGTTTTGCACAACTGATTTATCTGAAATTATGCAGAATAAAGTTAATAAATAAGCTAAAAGACTTCTTTTTACAAACCATCTATCATTGATGGTTAGCCTCTGCTAAGGAGATATATAGTCTCTCGTGTAGTTGGTTTGTGAGAGTCCTTCTTTCCGCTACATACTGCTTAATTCTTTTGATGACAAAGTTGGGCATCTTCATCTCTAGATCAAAATGGGAGAGGAGATGTGCTTTATTAAAAATTAAATGTCAAACCATATGTATTTTATATACTAAAAACAATTTCATTAAATATTGCTTAGAATACAAAGAAAATATAATGTGCATTTTACAGAACATATGCTTTCTTTGGGGGGAAAATATTTAAAAGTTTTGCAAGAATTTTAATAGGCCCAGATATATAATTTCAAATATGCGATTTCTAAAATTACAACCTTCATTTCCAAAACTAATGACACTCATTTTAAAATAGTAAGTATATTTGAGCATTATAATATGAATGCCAGCTTACCAACAATAACAATGAAAGCAAAACAAAGCATATCTGTTGGAAATCTTGATTTAATGAAGAGAACAGTTAAGGTGGTTGTTGATCTTTGAGAATAAGCTTGTTGTTGTTAGTTGCGAAGTCATGTCCGACCCATCACGACCCCATGGGCAATGTTCCTCCAGACCTTCCTGTCCTCTACCATCCCCCAGAGTCCATTTAAGTTCTTCATTGACTTTATCCAGTCACCTCATTCTCTGCCATCCCCTTCTTTTGCCCTCAATCTTTCTCAGCATTAGGCTCTTCTCCAGTGGGATAAGAGCTGTAAGAGTGTAAATATCTATATATGCTTCACCTTCCTCCTGTATATTTCTCTTTTGAACTACTAATCTTCTTCCTCCTCTTATCTAGGATTTTTTTTTCTTTACTTGATCAGGACTTAATTCTTTGAACTAGCCTTTGCCCACTTTGCTTAGATACTTTTGTACACGTTCATCAAACAGCTCACCAATTTAGTTATATTCTGTATTTAGTTGTTTAGACTAATAATAATAAAAAACATGGTTTACCTGAATAATCAGTTAAAAGCTCATAAGGAGTATTAGACTTTTCTCATAGAAGAGTTTGATATTCTGTTATCAGTTATGACATAACTTGTATCTGGTCTCCTACTAGCCTGTCAAATGAGTAAATGAAAATATTTTATTTATTTACTGCTAAGTCATAATCTTCAATCACTAAAATGCATTCATTTAAATCATTCACAGAGATAATGTTGATCAGCAGTCTATCAATACTCTGTGGCTTGGCTACTTTGGTGGAGATTTGCATCCAGCGCTTATGCTGTTACACTTTTTATTCTTGATTTACTTTCAGTTACAGTATCTCAGGACTGTTGAAATGGATCATTTAAAGAAGGAACAACAGAACTTTAAATAAGTAGTAATGGTCGGCTTTAGTCACAACATAGCATGCAGCACATATAATTTCACATTAACTTAGCGCTATCATGGGAATATCCTTGTATGCTTTTGTGTTCTTACCCCTTCCTCCATCCAGTAACGAATGCCAAAACAATCTTAGCTGGAATTCCACAGCACTTTATTAGCAGGAAACATAAATCTCAGTGGCTGAAAGCCAAGCACAACAAACAGATAAGAATCTTGGCAGCAACTCAGACTTCGACAGATACAGATAACAGNTTGAATGGTATACTTTATAATTACAAAATAACTTGAAATCTCTGCTTTTACATAGTTCTAGTTCACTGGCCTTCAGCATCTTTAATCTGATCTGTTAAATGATATTAGAAATACTTAATTATACAATTCAACTCCTTGAGCTCCAGTGTAATTTCATGGTTACAAATTCTCTTGTCAGGTAATAAAACAAGATGAACTTGGCAAGGATATGTCTGACTGCTCTCTTTTTGATCTGTTGAAATATGATGATTATAATAGTGACAAGCATCTTGGCCTGGAAGAATTCTATAGAGCATTCCGTGAGTATAATTCCTGATTTTATTCCATACAAAGTTACTGGTTTTATAAATGTTACACACACTGTTACAAATCATATACTGAAGTTGAATCCTATTGCAATGGAAGCTCTTCTATATATTTTAAGTCTTAGTACTTATCTGCACAGCCCAGCTGTTCTGCTGCCAAATGGGACAGCAACTATTTTTTGAGCAGAAATGAAAGACATTTGGTCAATTGCCTCTCATTACAGATTCCATCTTTAAGTGTGTTTCCCTTCTATAATTTGAAAGTAGTCTCTTCCTCTGATGTTGTGTCTACTGCTGTTGTCTATTTTGACTGGAATGCCTTACTTCTTTATACGCTAGCCACAGCAATTCAATGACTATTTTCACTGAAGAAATGTTCCCTCAACTGAAGCATTATCCTTATCTTTAAAAATGAAATTCTATTTACTATCAATATTTTAAAATGACACAGAGGTTAATAACGTTGCTTTGTATGCGAAATGTTGCTACTTCAAAACACAGCATATTTATGTTCATCTTTCCCCCAACTAGCCAATATTCTATCTCTTTATAAGTTCAGGTTCTATCATTTCATTTTCTTCCCATCATTTAGGTAAATTATTGATTCATACTGCAGCAGCTATCCTCTTCATTTCTCAGATATATGTCTCACGCAATATAATGTCCCTGCATTGAGACTAGGACCCACAATAATTTGCTGGGGAAAAGATAATGTTATATAGTTAAGTAGTCATTGCTGATCATGCCTGTTTTTTTTTAGTTTTAAAAAAATAGCTTCAGGTTGTTTTGACTTGTTTTATTTTGTTTTGTTTTGCTTTGCTTTGCTTTGCTTTGCTTAACATTGCTAGGTATCAGTGGTCGGATTCTACCAGTTCGCACCTATTCGGGAGAACCGGTTCTTAACTTTCTAAGACGTTCAGAGAACCGATTGTTGGAAGAAATCTCCTTTTG